ATCAGCAGCATCATCATCACGAACGTAATCATCATTACCATCATCATCAAAGCCATTGTCGTCACCACCACCATTATTATTAGCATCATTCAAATGAATCATGACAATCATTATCGGCGACTACCTGTTATTTATATATTCTTTCTCTCCTACCTAGATGAATGAAGAACTTGAGCAAGTCCATAAATTACGTGATGCAGAACACTACAAAAACAATTATCTCTTCAAAAAGGTTCCCAGGGAACCTGGCTCAGAAATATTCCAGATCACCTCGAACGCCACTATCGATGGAAAACCTTTAACTGTGGCCTTTGACGAATATGGCAAGCCGATGGATCCGATGCAAAACCATCACGAAGACGGGAGCTTTTTCAGGCTATTATCAGCATAAACTATTATAATCATTATAAGAACAATGTAAAACAAACTTGTTCTCTGTACGACAAACAATTTAAACAAGAATTAAATATAAGCTAAAGGTTATTATATGGCATTACTTTTGTACCAAAAGATTGTATTGAGACTGAATGAACAGACAATAGAACGAATTTAGGAATGAATTGAATCGAATGAGTGAAGGGCGAGTGAACGAATGAGAGAGTGTATGAATGTTACCGGGTGAAAAAAGGGATTGAGTACGCGGGTCTGTAGTGTGAGAGGATGTTACAAGGTCCTTAAAATATTTGAGAAAGTGCTGCCCCTGCTTTGCATGCCCAACGCCTTTGAGTGCTTGATGAATTGAGAGAACCTCGGACCTCACTACTCTCCTCCGCGTAGCTGTCATTCGGTCCCAGATCCGAAAACTAATGACGGCTGCGGAGGAGACCAGACTTGTACCCAGTCGCTTCTCTTTTCTTGTTGATCTCACGCTGTGGTTGATGGGAAGGATTAAGTGAGTTCACGATGCATCAGGGGAAGTAAGGAAAAAGCCACCGCGCGCAAAAAAAGCGTGAAAAAAAATGAACGACTGGGTACGAGTCTGGGTGGAGACTAGGACCTCAAAGAGCAAACCTTCTCCTTTGGCCGTCTCCCAACTCTTCCTACAGTATGTGGGGGTGTATATAGCTATTTTTAGTGTATTTCAACTGAAAAAATATACTAACTACATGTAGAGAGTTAATTGCTGTATATTAACTTTTTATTTCAAATTAACGAGACCCACAATGCCCTTTGGTCTTGGAATACACTATTCAGTATGCAGTATTCAACCTTTTTTGAAATAGCTGTATTTAGAAGATAAAGAATCTGTTCAGCAGTATAGTAGTGCTAGCCGACGTAAACCGCTGACCAAAATATTTTTGCCTCGCATGCTCACCTGTATGGATTACTCCGTGCCGGTTCGGCTAACGGTTGTCAAATAATTGTTTAGTGTTTTAGTTGCTCTTGTAGCTGGGTCTTGTATAGGATCGAAATGACATTATTCACGATGATAACGAGTGTGATTATCCTTCTTGGTGTCATTGGCGGAGTTCCAACAAACAGGTAGGCTGAATTCTGAGTTTCTTTCTCTAGATTCCTGCAAGTTATTTAATTCGTCAGTCTTTCTTAGGAGCCGAGCCAAAGTAAACAGAAATTAAGAATGCAATGTGTTTGTGCAATTTTGAAGTTGCTTTAAAATGAGTGTCCATGTCTTAGGGTAATACCTATTAAAAATATTGAAGAATATTGCTTTATACTTCAAAAAGTTGACCCCTGTCACACGTTTTTATTCGTAAACACACTTTTGCAAACGAATCCCGTCCGTCCACAACATCCACGTTTTCAAAACTATACATTTACAGCGAGCGTTTTCGTCGTTTACTCGTGGAAGAAAGGGATAAACGCATCAAAAAGTATGCGTTTATGAATGAAAACGTATGTTTGTGGACGGGGTCTTAGTCTTCTTCTGACATTTAATTTTACAATTGTAATTACCGTGTTTCAAAGGTTAGCAAAGCATGCAAAGTCACGCAAAACCTTTTGTAGTTGTAGAATTGTATTTTAGCACACTAGGTATAAGGGGGAAAAGGTCAAAACATTTTAGAACCATTGAAGAACCGTTCGAACAGTTTTCCATATTTTTCCCCCTAATTTGTACATGTTATAAACAACATGAGCATGTTTTTAGGAATTTTAGTCAATAATTGATATACGCAAACGAGCCGTTAATAACCATGACATGATTGACACTAGTCTTTACCATGTTTTGACCTCTGTACGTCAAACTAAATTAAAGAAGAAAAGGGGAAAAGTAAAAATTGGAACACATTAAGGCGTAACGACATGTAAAGATAAAGATTGAGAAATAAATAAATAAATAAAACAATCCGAGAAACCACATGATAAAGCAATAATATAATAAAATATGCAAAGCAAAACAAAACAAAACAAATTGTCGTGAAGGACAAAAGTATTTATAGTGGCGGACTGGCGGTACATGAAAAGTGACTGAGATCGAGAAAAATAATTACTAAAAAAATAAATAATACTTAGACTTATAGGGAGTGAAACATTAGATAATGGCAGACATCAGAATTACATCCTATCGTCTTCAAACGATTTTTTTCAAGTAGAGGCATTTGGGTCAGGGCCCGGTTGTAGGAAGGGTGGATAGTGCTATCCGATAGATAACTCTTATCCAATGGATAAATTCATAATTGGAACAGCATAGTGTTATCCACTGGATAAGGATTTATCCATCGGATAGCTGAGCGTTATCCGCCATTAGCACAACCGGGTCCAGTACATTAAAATCCATTCAATAGACCTATCCCGAATTCGCTTGGATAACCGAGAGACAATGGTTTGAAGTCGAGACTGAACTGGATGCTTTTATTCATCAAGTTCAACCTCGACTTGAAACCATTGTTTCGTTTCGGTGTATAATTTACCTTTTCATCATTACTGAAGGCAATAATGTGTGACTTATATCTGCCATCGATGGGAGTTGCTGGAATTTATGTTGGATGAGTAAAGGTCCGTCTCTCATGTGATTTATTATTCCTTTTTCAGTATCGATAGTAAAAAACAAGTCATTGTCATGTCCCTGCCTGGCACAAGTAACACTCAGTACCTAAACAGCCTGACGAACATCGCCGACTTCATCATCGAAATGGACGTCAAGACTAAAGGAAGAGACCATTTCTTTGTCATTCACGACAAATCAGGCCTTTCGTACCTCAACAAACACAACTTTACTAATGGACACTTGATCGAAGTGAGTGAGTCTTTGGATATGTGGATGAGAGATTTCCCACCAGTTATGCCAACGATGCAGGTCAAGTTCAAATACAGGCCACAGCACATCAGTGAGTCACAAGCCATCGAAGACGATAGAAGGTTTGAGGTGTTCGCAAAGTTGGTAGGATTCCCTGCATTGAATCGTAGTGATCTTGTGCTCGAGGGAGGTAACGTAGTAGAGAATGGTGAAAATGCTGCAGTAACCACTGAAAGAATCTTCAAAGACAATAGCGAGATGAGTAGAGAAGATGTGATCAAGTCACTGGAAAAAGTCATTAAGAGAAAAGTTGCAGTTGTACCGGACCCTCAAGACACTACTGGACATGCTGATGGCTTGGTTTCATTTGTAGAAAAGGATGTTCTTCTGGTGTCATTGTTCGATGACGCCGATGGACCAGACTTTTACGATGCCATGAAAAACGCGTCTATAAAGGCTTTCCCAAGTATCAAGGTTGTACCACTTCCTTGTTACTCAAATAAAACCAAATCCAATGGCTTTATGTCGGCTGAAGGTTCCTATTCAAACTCTCTGGTGACATACAATGCAGTTTACCTGCCTTTCTTCTCAAACCAGACAAACAATCAAATTGCTTTTGATGTCTTTCAAAACTCCACTGATAAAGAAGTCATCCCAGTATACAAAGCTGGGAAAGTCCCAGTCTTGGGTGGCAGTCTTCGTTGCATGACGTGGCAGATCGATCAAGCACATCCAGTAGCTAAGAGCTTGTTTGCTTATGTTGAAAACAGAAAGAAACCAAATGGCTCCAATCATGTCAGACCTGCCATTGCACTTATTATAGCTCAAATAGGTCTCTCGCTGGGTGTGTTAGCAAATGCTTTTTATTAGCCCATACTTTTTATTAGCCCATACTTTTTATTAGCCCATACTTTTTATTAGCC